TGTGTGTGTGTGTTTTTAGCCTCGTTTCTATTGTTGGGGGTTACATTCACATTATTTCCACCCTACTCACCTTTTCATAAACCCACTCAATTTAATTCCACTTACCTGTTATTCCCACTCACCTTATCTTACTCTTACTACACCTTCTTAATCCTACTCGCCTCTTTATCCCACTCTCCTTACTCCCCCTCCCCCTTTACTCCCACTCATCTTCTTAATCCCACTCACGTTCTTACTCCCACCCACCTTGTGTTATTCCCACTAATTTTCTCTTACTCCCACTCACCATCTCGTACTACCTCTCACTCCCACTCACCTCACCTTAGCTCCACTAACTCCTGAATAGTCCAGTTCACCTTCACGTATTCCCTCTCAGCGTCTGCCAAGGACCATTCACCTTCGTCTGACTCCCAGCCCAGTATATAATTAACAGAGCCGCCACCACCACCACTACTGCCACCACCAGCCTCTCACTGCCACCACCACCACTACTGCCACCAGCAGCCTCTCACTACTTCTGCCACTACCAGCCTCTCACTGCCACCAGCATCACTACCACCACCACCTCCACTACTGCCACCACTACAGTTGTTGAAATGTTTCACTTTACGCTAATGTGATATATTTTTTTTTTACCACTACACTCTCTTACTTCAATAAACTTAACTGAGTGATATAGTAGGTAGTGGAGTCCCTGGCATCAGTAAACCAGGGACGGAAGAAGTGGTGGAGGAGACGGAAAGAATTCTGAAGGTGAGGTGCAAATGGATAGCATTGACGGAAGTACATTGTGTGAAGGGGCGCCACAGAAATTGAAGGGGTAGGAACCTTTTAAGCCGTGGTGGGGTAAGACCTCTGCTGGGTTAGGGATCTCTGAGTGATGGCTGCTGAGGAGAGATGAGGAGGAGGAGGATGGATATGGTGGAGCTGTGAGTTTCTCCTCCCAAATGGAGATTGGGTCACACTGGGAGTTCTATGGGGTGGGTCATACACGATGTCTGATGGGATGGGTCAGACAGGGTGTTCTATGATGGGATGTGTCACATACTATGCCTGACGGGATGGGTCACACACGATATCTGATGGGGTGGGTCACACTGGGAGTTCTATGATGGGATGTGTCACATACTATGTCTGACGGGATGGGTCACACACGATATCTGATGGGGTGGGTCACACTGGGAGTTCTCTGATGGGATGTGTCACATACTATGTCTGACGGGATGGGTCACACACGATATCTGATGGGGTGGGTCACACTGGGAGTTCTATGATGGGATGGGTCACATACTATGTCTGATTGGATGAGTCACACTAGGAAGTCTCTGACGGGATGGGTCAAACTAGGAGTTCTCAGATTCAAGGAAGGATGAATATTTTTTCCCATCGAAGAGAAAACGAGAGAAAGGAGGATGTGTTGGTATGATTTAAGTTGGAGGTGGAGGAAGAGGAGAGAAGGACGGGGGGAGAGTGTGTGGGAAAAAGGGCACTGTGGATGTAAGTAGGAAGAAGAAGGACGAGGGGAAGCTAATTAGGAAGGAAGTAGTGAGGAAGTGGTGTAAAACCTGAGAAGATGGACTTGGAAGGGACGAAGACAAACTCTGAACATACGAGTACAATATAAATATAGTTTATGCCAAGTAAAGGAACCTGTATGTTTTAATTTCATATTAGTTCACCTTTAATATAGTTTTTGTGCTAACTTCACATACTGTGCTAACATTCTTCATCTTATTTTTGTTACCGAGAAGTACAGTATATACTTCGTTGTTGTTGTCCGCTGCTACCAAAGACGATTAGTTAAATAATACTCGTAAATTGAATTTGACATTCTTGGAACTGGCCTAAAATTTACAGTTAGGAAAGTATCAGTACAGTTATTGATGGTTTTAATGTACGGCCGGCAGTGTGTTGAGACCCGCTCTCCAGCACTTCCTATAATATCCGGCAGACTCACTCTTTCGAATCTTATCTGGTGAAATTACAAAGTTCTCTTGACTGCAAATCACTTGACATTAAATAAGATGTCGTGATTAATTTTGTGTGTTCTAAACGAAACGGGATTAAGTTGTAAGAAGTTTCAGCATGAGATTAATAGTTACAACATTTAGGGAGATATTTCACGTGTGTTTTATTGTGTTGGGTACTGTAATAGGTGTCTGAAAATAACTTATGATTAATGAGTGTTACGATGGTAGTGTCTCCCCAGAGTTACAACGCTTGAGTGTGCATTACACTTCAGCGAGTGTAGTGTGTAGCATCAGCAGCAGGAAAAATCACTTTGCAATTCATTATGCAGCTGGCGGACGATCTAACGCTCTCAACAATGCAGTTATAATTATTTTTTTCCCTTAGTTCAGCGAGGAGTTAGATAATGGTGTCAGCTATGCCATAATTTATGTCATCAGATTTTAGAATATCATTACCGGCCGAGTCATGGCGTTCACAGACCTCCTTTTTTGTGTTGGGTTGCGATAGAGGACAAAAATCCGTCCCCTTTATAGCACCATTGAGCAGTAGAGGGATAAAGTCATCCAGTAATTAGATTATGTGGCGGTGTGGTATTCATCATCACCAGATTACAGCGTGTGTGTGTGTGTGTGAGCTTAGAGGATGGTGGTAGGAGAATGGTTGTCTTAACATAGGATTCAGTCAATCGTGGTGGTGTGCAAATTAACACAGCATGAGTTGAAGATAATCATACCTCTTTCTCTTCCATCGTTACTCCTTTCCATTTCCCTTGATTTAATCCTTTGTTTTCCTCCTTATTCTCCTTCCCACTTTCCTTTTAATGTCTCTGTCTCTTCCCTTTGTTTCACTTTCTCTTTAGTTACAAAATTTCTGTTTTAATTCGTGTCATCCCCTGTCCAGCTCTTCCTTCTATCGTCGAAGTATTTCCTCTTTACTGTTTTCTCTTTTCTTTTTCTAACCTATCTTCCCTCTCACTCCTCTTTCTTTTGCTAAATAATCTACCTCTTCACCCTTATCCTTCTCTGCTCCCTTTTCGCTTCTACAGAGTTACTCTTGTCTCTCCTGCTTAACTTGTACTTTTCCATTATTCTCATTCCGACCCTTTTCTAACTTCCTCCTCCCTTCGTTCTTCCTTCGCCCTTCCTTTTAATCCTCCTCCAGTTTAGCAAAAGTATTAAAAACTTCCTCCTCGTGGTATACACGCAGAAGGCGAGGATGGGGTGAGGGAATAAGTGAGGATGGTTCAGGTGGCCAGGTGTAAGTTGAAGGGCCGTGCAGCTGGAGGGGTACACACACTTTACACAGTTATGGTGAGAATGTTACTTATGAGACGTTGATAGTGGGAATGTTACTTATGAGACGTTGATAGTGGGAATGTTACTTATGAGATGTTGATAGTGGGAATGTTACTTGTTAAACGTTTCATGGAACATTGGCATTGAAGAAGTGACTTATATCATGTAACTTATATACCCCACTCCCTTGAACCGTTATCGTGTACCCCGTCAGGAAGGCTTTGCATGATGGGTATTGTAGTGTACTCTCTTCGTCACTCACTTCACCGCATCTGTACTATGAGGTAACACTGGTGGTGATCTGTGATAATGGCATGTACTTGTTTATTACTGTATAATTCTCATAAGGACTTGTGGTGTTTAATTACGTTGATAAGGAAAACAAAATCGTTCCCGCAAAAACTGTCCAACGCGTTGTGACTCAGGCGATGAGACGATGTTTTCGAAAAATAATGACGCGATCTGGTTCCCATTCATGTGCTTAGGAATAATTGTATTATTATCGTTATGATCGTTATTGTTAATATGCATACATGAATTATTTTCACTGATGTAATTTATTCGATCCTGATTTAAGCAAGGAATAAATTACAGGGATCCGCTCTGAAATATTTTGTGAAATAATTAATTTATCGCAATATCTGTTAATATAAATTATTGAACTAGACGATAATTGATCTGTTTTTGTTGATTACATTTCCAAAGAATATTTTGACTCTGCCCTATCGTAATGAATTTGTCCCGTTAGTTCGGTCCCTCAAGCTTCTAAATATTAATGTTGTTTTCAAGTATGACTCAACCATTACCAATATGTTAATAAGGAATAGCCCAAATTTGAATGTAAATGGAAGTGTTTATTGTATTCCATGTAGCAAATGTAATTGTAATTATGTAGGTCAGACTGGAAAAACACTGCAGTTCAGAATCAAACAACATAAGTATAATATCAGAACTGCATCTGAAAGCAGTGCCTTGTTTGTTCATGTTAGGAATAATAATCACCCCATTGCTTGGGAAAAAAGCTTAGAAGTATTCAAATCATCTTGTGTCACAGAAAGACTTCTGGTTGAAGCTAGTTTGATTAAGGAATTAAAATCAATAAACCTTAGTGATGGTCAGTTCAAACTGATAATATGTTACATAAATTTATTTGTCAGTGGCCCAAGGTTAAAAATGCTTTGAAAACCTTCGATCTAGATGTATGATAGTTATTTTGTGGGTCCCTTTTTTCTGACCTGACCTGGCTAGTCACGTCAACACCCTTCTCTTAAGCTCCTCTACGTGTGTGTTGGTGTGGGGATTAGTGGATGTCATCATTATGACCTGACTTCATGTTTTTAGGTCACCCTGTATATTTAAGCCTCTCTCTGTCCATGTAATCCAGTTGCCTCTGAAGATGTCTTGAATAAAGACGAAAGCTAAGGTACTCCGTTGTTTCCATTTTCCCGTGTGATTTTATCAAGATTTATCTTATCCACGTTTTCATTGTGAATTACACGAAAGCGCTTGGGAACTTCGTGTTTTCTTCTTTCCTTGTGGTTATCAGCATATACCTAGATCACGCGCACCTACAGTGATTTACTTGGTATATATATATATATATATATATATATATATATATATATATATATATATATATATATATATATATATATATATATATATATATAATCATAACATGTTCAAGGTTTTTATGAATAAAACAATTGGTACAGTGTATTTAAAGACAGTCAGTCAGATTTTATATTTTATTGACAGATAAACCATAAATTTGCTCATGTGACAGCCAGATATATGCACATTTTGTTCTGCTGACTGTGTGGTGATGACCTCTGGTCAGTGTTGTGGTGTAATGACCTAAGGTCATTGTGGTGTACATATACCGAGTGTTCTTGTGTAATGTTTATATACATACCGGGTGTTGTGACCTCTGGCCAGTAGTCAATATACCACGTGTTGTGTAAATACCCGAGGTTCGTGTGGTCAATATACCACGTGTTGTGTACTGACCCGAGGTTCGTGTGGTCAATATACCATGTGTTGTGTACTGACCAGAGGTTCCTGTGGTCAGCATACCAGGTGTTGTGACCGCTGGTCAATGTTTCATATACATACCAAGTATTCCCTGTTTTGACAACACTTACTATCTACTCTAACGTATTATATTTTCAATATAGTACTTTTTTTTTTCAATATATCATCTTTTATAAACCTAAACTGTGGTATAAAATCTATTGAATAATATATTATAGACTTGACCATATGAAAGACAAATGCCAGGGGGTCATGAAGGTGGTATAAAAACCGTATATTATATAAAGCAGAATTTACAAGGAGACATTTTGTTGCTACCTTACTGACTGACGCGTCAATAAGCTCTACCACTATCATACAGAAAGCTACTCCCAACATGGATACGCCCGGCTGTCCTCTGGCGAATGACATCGACAGAAAACATTATTTCATTTTTATCACAAGCAGAGTGGAATGGGCAATAGACTCTCTGTGTAAGAGATGTCTTGTAATAACTGCTGATAAATGACTGACGTGCTGGCGAGCCGGAGTAACAAGGAACACAGTCAAGTGCAGACACAGTCCACGGAAATTATCGGCCTCGACAACAACAAGGTGTGGCCCGACCCTGACCACACCTCTGCTACATCCTCTGGCCGCCCAGGTCAAGCAAACACACCATTCTCACTTTTATTATACAGAAATACAAAAAAAGCTTTTCCTGTGTACAGTGAAGATTGTTTTTTTGCTGTGAACAGAAAGTTGATGAGATTCAAAGATAAAACAGAATTTTATGAATATTTTTTGAGAAGCATATACATGCTATGCAATTATTCATAGTGTAATGCTTATAAGCTATGATTGCAGCTCATTGCACCTGGTAATAACACTGAGAGCTTGCACGTTTAGACTCTAGAATGGTAGTTTTGTGTTTGGCGTGGCAGTGATGAATACAGTGATATCTAAAATATATACATCAAACATTGTTATTGCTTGTGAGGCATCTTTGGCAGGCTTCATAGCGGAAACACACTGACTGAAAAAGCAGACAGGCTGCAGAGTGACGACAGATACGCGCCCCAGCACTCCCTGAAGAGTGCACCGGCGATCTGATGTCCCACAAGTACACTCTCACTTGATCAGGTTGATTGCCAGTATCAACTGGTCCATCCCTCCGTCTGTGATTCCAGAGTTGCTTCAGCCTGTGCACCTCCTAAGCTGATGGACAAACTAAGTAAATACTTGAAGAAACGAAGAGCTAATACTATACACACAAGATGACGCATCACACCGTGAACACATTAAGAAACTTAGTATGACTAGTACATGTGGTGCTCCTGAGCCAGCTGTTGTAACAGCAGTGGCCCACGACATGAGTACAGGTGGTGCTCTTGAGCTAGCTGTTGTAATAGCAGCTGCCCATGACATTAGTATAGTTGGTACTTTTGGGCCAAGTCCGAATTTGGAGATGTCAAGTCACTTTTGGACGGCTTCTTACTCCGATGAGATGTTTTCTCTGCAACATTTATCATATGTTAGAAAAAAAATATGTTTGGGTAGGCCGACTGACGTGCAAACATGCATGACAAAGAGCTACCATCCGCTTCGTATATGCAAGGCCAGCCTCACTACAGGTATGAGTCTACATTGAGTGAGGTCACTTAAACACTGTGTCTGTGTTATAAGAGAGGGGCGTACCGTGGGTGGGCGTAGGGGACACCTCTCGCTCTCTTTGTGGTGTCTGTGAGTCATCCCGCCACAGACTACTCAAAGTAAATTACTCCCTGCATCCTTGATTATTGTAGTTCTTGTGTATTGACTGTTGCCTTACAGTTGTGACTAGCTATGGTCTCTTCCCCTCGAAACAGAACAGAGGGTTTCCCCGTGAAGACATGGCATAGTAAAACAAAAACAAATAATTGTTGAAGGTAAAAAATGTAATGAAAATGTTGTCTTTTTACCTATCACCTGGTACCGTGATCACCGTGTCCTGGTGAGATGCTGACTGCATTCTTCGTAACACAAACAGTACTGTATATCCGCCGTGAGGAATATCCTCTACAGCTATCAGAGAATATCAGGTGCTAAAATGCAATTTTTTTGGACTGACGCTCTGGAAGTGGATATTGTTAACATTGTGTTGACTGACGGTGGCGCAACAATAGGAGGCGCGTGTTTCCTGCGTCAGCTATCTAATCCCCTCACTCGTCGTCTGCTGTGCCGCCATAAAATGCGTTCTCACTGCCCAAGATACGGTTTTGTGCTGAGCTGTACAAGTAACTTCATTTTCATGATTATACCAAAATCTGAAACAAAGTCACTGATCAGTCATTTACAGTATCGTCTTCACTGTCCAAAATGTACTAATGTCTTTTCTCGGTAATCAGAAGGCTCATAGGTTCTGTTGAAGTTAGGAGACGTTCACACTTATGTTGCAGAAACAGCGGCCACCGTCCCTCATACGGTCAGTAGCCTTTGGGAAAGACCCAACCATGTGACCGCAGGACCCAGCAACATCAACAGGCCCGGTCGAAACACCTGCATCTGGCTAGAGGCGGTGTTGCAGTACGACCAGTCGCAGGTGCAGACGTAACGCGTCAGGATGATGGTTTTGTAGAAACCGCACGAGTTTGTCATGAGGGTGTCTTCGGTGGCGCAGTTGCGGTGAAAACTCTCCACCTCACCTGCGGGAGGAAAGACCAGTAATATAAACACCAGTTAAGAATAATTAAATGAAGAGTTCTACAGTGTCTGGCAGGTTACACATCCTCTTGATGATAATACTAAAACAGGAAAATGTTCAAATTAAGCATACAGTAGATAGAGACTTGGACCACTGTATTGATACATCAGTTGAAGCGGCACTAGTGGTATAATGTGTCTTTATCCGTCCATCACGTATTGTAATTTCGCTAAAACAGGATACAGATATTTGTTGCATTATTTTCATGTTGTAGTGGTTGTATATTATCAGCAGCAGGAAGAAGCACATCACGTCCACTAACACCTACTCTTATGATGCTCTTGTAAGGTAATTATTGTGCAAATAATTTAGGAGCATTTGTGGTTTTTGTGTTTAGGAAAAAATATTTGAGGAAACCTTCATAAAGTTAGATTCATACATGAATCCTGTACGTATGTCTTATTTGGCTGATTGTTTGGGTGAATCGGCTGAAAAAATAATATTTTCATATTAAACATTAGAAATATTCTGATAATGACTACAAAAACAGTGCCATCAGGCTAATGTGCAGCGCAGTCAGTTGAGTGATGTAGTTGAGAAACAAAGGTGATGAAGCATAGGTCAAAAACAGCACTAGTTCAGGACTGATCGGTACAGGGGACACTATTTTTCTATCACATTTAAAAAACTGATTGAGTGATGATTGGTAGATTGATGCCTGTATTAACGAGCATGTTATCGTAATGGTTTTGACCGTATCTTTAACTGTAGCGAGTGTAAAAAAAATAGTTTATGCCGGTATAATCATATCTCAAAAGCGCTCCAAATTCTGTCAGTGAATAAAGAATGCCATTCATAGAGCTGTCTGACGCAGTTGAAAATTACTGTCCCATTTTTATTTCAGTGTGAAAACAAAATGCTTTTGTCTTTAGTTTCAAAACCCGTGTTGAACTCTGGGCTGTTTTTAAAAAAAGATGAGGTAATGGATCCCCGCCTCGCTCTCTCAGTACTTACTTAGCCACGTTGGTTTGTTGTCCCGGCGATATATCAGCCACTCTTTGAGCTAGAAAGCTGACATTTAGACACAATTATGACCAAGCACTTTGGATAATATTTTTTTTTTATCTCGACCCATCTTAACCCCCCCCCCCAACACACACGCACATAATTTTTGTTTCCTGGTGTGGTGGGGAGTGTGGGGCGGCGTGCTGTATTGTGCCACTACTTGTTATATTTTGTTTTCATTTTTGTTGTCTAAAATGCCCCTTGGAAGGTCATCAAGTTAGAGGAAGAGACTAAAATTGGATTAATATAATCAGTATAAAAACAGGTGGTAGAGGTTTTAATACAGTCTTCTAAAACATTGAGAGAGAGAGAGAGAGAGAGTTGGTAAAACAAAAGCATGATAGTAAATTAAATATAACTAATAACTATTATACTACGGAATTCGTTTAATAATTAAATACAGTACAAATAACCTCGTGTTATTGCAAAGCCGTCCTACCTCCTCCAGTGAATACGGCTGAGAACATTGTGCCACAAACTACATTCCACTAAACTCATTTAATCAATCACTGTAACAATCTAATTAAGTCTCACTATAACACTACACCCATTTTTCAAACCAGTTATTTTCACTTTAATTTGTTTTCCCCTTCCGTCATATATTCCCTTGGGCTCTCTACACTGTGAAGAATACATAAGATTATATTGTATTTTCCAACACTAAAAGGTGAAGCTGGGAAGAGAAAAGCGATAACAGTAGCATATGTTATAGAGTACTGAAAGAGACTGAAGCATAGATCACTTAATATACGTAAGTCATGAGAGCAGACACAGCGGCATAAGAAGACTGGTAGTTAAGCAGCCGCCGGTACTTGAACAATCGTAACACAATCAAGAGTGAAACGTGTGAAGAACTGAATGAACTTTAGACCGTACCCCGTAATTGACTACCATACAATGAAATGAGGACTAGTGTAGTTTTATATCAGCTGACAGTGAAGAGTAAGCATCATTTGGCCGACCTAAGGTACAGCAACATTGACTATTTTCTGAACACCTGTAAAGGTTAATGGGATATTAGAATATTAAAGGGGAAGTAGAAAGATGTAACACACACACACACACACACACACACACACACAGCTTTTATTGTCATTACCAGCCAGGGATAGCTAGCAGCAGCGCAATGTATTGTAACATAAGAGACAGGGAGCTAAGATATGTAATGCAAGCGAAATAAAACTGGATCTAGGATGTGTAATGTGAGAGAGAGAGAGAGAGAGAAAGAGAGAGATTACCGTTTAGGTCGTAGACGGTGACAGCCTCACAGCCCAGGTCACAGGAGCGGGACTCGGTCTGCTCCTCGGTGAAGTTGCCGTCCGTACAGCCGTCGATTCTGGAGCTGTTACTGCGTGGCGAGTAGCTGCAGAGGAAACACTGCATCGTCGCACCTGCCGGACCAACACACACACTTAGTGGGTCATGTTGGGGGTTCAATTGACTCACAACATAATTATGTGGCTGTGTAAATGCAGCTGTAATATACTGTACACTGTTTTATGTAGGGCTGAAGGAATTCACAACTTAAGTGGTTATATAGGAGGTAAAAGTACAGTTGACAAGAACTTCATAAACATACATCCATGGTAGATTGAGTCACATATTCTTCATTCTTGAGACTATTCTTAACATGATACAGCTACAGTGAGGCTTAATAATTAACTGCTGTTGTATGAATGAAAATTTGAGTTATATTCTTTCTCTTTTGTAGTTGTGATAATTTTGTCATAACCTTCTTCCCCTGTTGTATTTAACATTATATGACGCATTAACTGACTCATAGCATCTTTGTGTTATAGTTGTGATGTTCGTGATTCATAACTTCAGATAGCCATACACGTACGGTCAACTCAAGAAGAAACCAACAACCTAGCCCAACCTAACCTAACTTCAGATAGTCATACACATACGATCGACTGAAGAAGAAAACAACAACCATCTGCTCTTCAAAGTTCCCAATTTCTAACTTTCTCTTGTGAGGTAAACATCACTCAAAATTTGATAATGAAGTTTGGAGCTTCACAACAGCCTTTAATAGTCTTCCTCCTACGGGATGGTACAGTATACAGACAGTGCCTTTAGTTCTCGACGTGTATAGTCCCCCTGTGTTACTCCAGTCTCCCGGGGAACTAGTGGGAGACGTTCCCTAAACTGAACTGCTCAACGATAACTGATTTTTCTCCATGAACGGTGGAGTGATGACTGACATTCTTATCTGACGTGCTGTGGACAACTTATTGGTGTTCTTAACTGAGCGGTGACGTTGTTAATTGAGCTGTGGTGTTCTTAACTGAGCTGTGGTGTTCTTAACTGAGCTGTGGTGTTCTTAACTGAGCTGTGGTGTTCTTAACTGAGCTGTGGTGTTCTTAACTGAGCTGTGGTGTTCTTAACTGAGCTGTAATTATGCTGTGAACCAATGACTGACGTTCATGATTCAGCTTTAAAACAATGAGTAACTTCCCCAACTAAAACTTTGGAGCCAGTCAGTGGCGCCCTTAACTGAGGTACGGACTAATAAGTGAACACCTTCAACTGAGTAATATATCACCAGTTAAGATCAATGAAAAACTCTTGGGGTGTATTGAATTTTCTGACTCTGAGAAGCAACATTGGTATAACCTGCCAGAGAAAATGGTTGGCTATACAGTGGTTGATGATGACGATAACATTTACATAAACACCTGAGGTCTAAGGGATTTTGTGCGATAAATGGACACCTAGGCGCTGTCTTCTGCTTCTGCCCGCCTTTAGGAGATGAAGAACACGATTTAGGGAACGCAGAGACGAGTCGTGGGTTCTGAGAGAGGAGCTTCACCTTGGCTCTAAAGGCTACAGATAGTGTGACCTTTCGTTTGTCTGGCGTAGCTTTCCTGAGAGTGCCATTTAGCAGAGTGGAAGGAAACGCCAGGTGCTGATGGTTGCTCTTACCGGCGATGTTTTTTTTTATGGTACGGCCTGAGATATGTGTGTCACCCATCTGTAGGCTCTAAAAGATGTGTCACAGCTGTAGGCTCGAAGAAAGACACCTCTGGGTTCTGGTAGGAAAGCTTCATACAGCTCCGGGCTCTGTGACAGATGTGTCACCCGTCTTATCGCCTTTAGGAATGATGCATCACCAAGGCCTGACCTCTGAGATAATCACCACGCTCTTGGCTTTAGGAGATTCGTTTTTCTGTACTCCAGGCTGTGTGAGAGATAAATCTACGAACTTTAGGCTGAGAGAGATGTGAAGCAACAAGCTTTAGGTTCTGAAAGAGATGAATCACCAAGCTCTCGACCATGACACACACACACACACACACACTCTGGCTGCCTGTGGGTGCTGTATATTGCTCTCTGTCTGGTGTGGGGGAGGGAGAGGAAGGCTAACAGCAGCACTCACCACTCCTGAATTAATTCCCCGTCAGTAATGGACGTATTGAATGCCTCTGTGACCATCGCATTTTTCCCTCCCCGTCAAAGTCTAGTCCTAAGTGCATGTGTGTTGCATGAGTCACCTCATATTCAGTTCAGTTCTCAAACAGGAAATTCAGATGTTAACGTTACGTGTGCAACAAACTGTGGAGAGCTCAGCTGGGACCCAAGATCATCGCTAATCCCTGACATGTCACATGGTCGATGGTCGCTGTTTTCTGAAGCGTCATTTATATTTTTCGTCTCTTTTTAAATCCACTACATCGTTTCGGTCAAATGTGATGTGTATTTGTTTCACATTTTGTGTTCCTCACTTTGAACTGACCAGAGACTAATGTTAAAACGTAAGGGCTAATTGTCAACAATACTCTGTGCTTGTCGTCTCTATTCAACAGAGTTATCATAAATTTTTCACACTTAATCCACTCAAGCTAGACAGACAATGTGCTCCTCTTTGCTGACGTAAATTTTGCGTTTGGTCCAGCAACACACACACACACACACACACACACACACACACACAGAACTTGTAATTGAGTGATAATTACAATAACTTGGAGGATGGGGTACCAGGAATAGATAACCTTATGAGTTCGATGACTTAACCCCTTGAGTACCACGATATCGTCCCTTCCCTTGTGAATGTTATGATGTATTTCAATTCAGATAATATTATAACAGCAGATTAAGCCATCGCAATCAAGAGGTTAAATCATCATAGTCAAGGGGCTAAATCACCATAGTCAAGGGGCTAAATCACCATAGTCAAGGGGCTAAATCATCATAATCAAAAGGTGAGGGGAGGGGAGACAAGAATCAAGAGTGAGTCATGTTTGTGTTTAATCAAAATAATAATATGAAGTAAAGGAGTATTACACACACACACACACACACACACACACACACACACATCTGCAGCGTCTGGTGTTGTGGTAATTAAGAGTCCTCCAACACTGAATGACATACTTCTTGTTTCAAAGCTCTTCACTGACTGACTCTCTCTCTCTCTCTCTCACACTTCTTGCTCTGACTGCCAACTCTCCACCTATTCACTTTGGTCTGTCCTCTCAAGTTGTTCCTTTATTGACCGTCCCCATACCTCCTCCTTCAGTGTTTGACCAGCTGATTCATGAGTAACTGGGTTGACTAATTGGTTCGTGGCTCACCTGAAAAACCAACTGGTTCAAGAGATTTGACTGACCAGTGGCTAGTGACTCACTTGACTGACCAACTGACTCGTGTCTCACCTGACTGACTAACTGACCCATGACTCACCTGTTGTGACAAAGAATGCGAAGGTGAGGAGTGTGGTCAGCCCCACCCACGCCCTCAGACACGCCATCACCACCTGTGGGAGGAAAGAAGACACGTTAGTGAGGAAGGCGAGGGATGCTGGGCACCTGCTGTGTGTGTGTGTGTGTGTGTGTGTGTGTGCGTAAGTGCGCGCGCGCTCTCTTCCATGGTCTCCCTTCTCAACTACAAGTCTTTCTATTGTTGCCACTATCTGCGCTGTATGCACTGTATATAAGAATATTTGTGGCGAGGAGAACCTGTACGCATGTCTCCTAAATAGTTCTAAAAGTCGCCTGCAAGATTTAAAATAGTTAATGACGCCAACACGATGACTATTATCACAGTCCAGAAACAACACAACCCACCCTCCTTGCTCCTGATACTTGAATGGGGTAAACCTTATAACTCTTGAAGGACGACAGGCAGCTGGTGTGGGGATAATCAGGTTAAAACCCCGGTGTAGCTCATCATGCTACGGTCAAGGGAGGAATCCAGAGCTCTACTAAAAAGAGGAGATTCAAACCTCAGGATCATTTGGTCCCAATTGGATCAGAGACTTTCAGCTCCGGTGGCAAAAATCATCCTGGTTTTTTTTTATATGAGTTTGAGCTCCAGACTCATTTAAAAAAACTTGAGAGTCAACGACAGCCAGTTTCTTAGACCAGCGACTCAGCAAAGCGATCCAACGAGGGAATTCCAGCTGCATTTTCAATTCTCATACTGCCGCTGGAGGAGAGTTGGAGGAAGCTCACAGTTCTTACTCTTTAGTTATAAAAGTATTTCCTTTTTAGTTTTTAATTTCGCAGGTAATAAATATTTGAATAAGAAAAAATGCAAAAAGTAACCAAAGGAATGTTTATAAAGAAAAGGGATATGTATTTTCCTTTTTGCACGTTACTCACTTCTTGTAGGATGTTGGTCTCTGTGGCCTACCTAAGATAAACCTATAATTTAATGTAAGAAATGTCTAGCAATAACAGGTGATTTTGTAAGTCTGTTAGTGCCAAGATGTCTCGGTATGAGCGAACCACGAAGCTCTACTAATGAAAAGTGACCAAGTTATACATTGAGACCGTATCATAAGAGTTCATAGCATGGGTGTTGTGTTAGTCTTAACTCCAATATATTGGTCAACACAGTTGTTATAGAAAGGACAAAGTAAATTCTAGATATAAAAAGAACACGGCGGACATTCCACGGTGCCTCACTCAGGCAGGTAGATGGCAGCGTTCATTATGCCTGTGGCCTGTGCATCCTGTTTCCGCCTGACAGCTGTCGTGTTTGTTAATACCTGATGTGTGAGTGCCGCTGTGGCCGAGCTCTGCCTCCACTAGCTTGTATGAAAGTGACGTAGTTACTTACAGTTATTGTGTATGTTTTATATCCTCATACCTTTAAACTTTCTGTTATAAAACATTTAATTTAAAAAACACTGCTGGTTTATCAAAGGTGAACAAACATTATTGTCAGAAACTGTCACAATTCTCAAGGCACAATCGTAATAAGGGCGGAAGCCTTGGAATCTTGTATCGACGCGACATAATTTTTATTTTGACAAGTACAGTAAATCTATCACCAGAATGGCTTCATGTTCTCAGCTTCTCTTTCTGAGAACAATGGCCGTAGTCTTAGACTTAGAGGAACAATAGACATAACTGAGCGTTGCAAGGGTGGTAGCTCCCTTGTGAGGCACCTGATAAATACTTGTAACACAAGAAAATTATTATATATAATAAGAGTATCATCAACAACTTACATTGTGTTAACAGTGAGCCGTAGTGTAACACCTGCTCCTCATCGCCAAGTTTATGACTAAACAGTAACAGCGCCCGCTAGACAGTTACTTGGAATGTGTCATTATGTTGCTGTCTGTCATTTACTGTCTGTGGTTATGCCGATGAAAGCCGCTGTCATCACTACGTCTGGTCACTACAGAGGAGTAACTATATTTTAATAATTTCCTAGTTTAATATTGTTAATTTCTCGATCCACTCGGTGCTATATTTCCATTTCACACCGATTTTGCTTTTACAAAACTTAAGTTTATATTCCAATACTTAAAAGAGTTCACCCTACTGAGGTAAAGTCACCCATTAAACCACAGACGTACTGAACAAACAATTTGTCAACCATTAGGACTGTAGACCACGTGGCACCTAGAAGCAGTGCTCAGACATTGACCCTTCAGAAGAATGACCCAGAAAGCATGACTGAGTGAGCCACCGTACACTCTACGTCAGGATGCGGGAGGAACTATTGCTTGGAAGCACCTGTAAACTCCCTTCACTGACTCATGACATTCCCAGTAATTAATAGGTGTGTGTCTAGCGGCCCCGCTCGTGGGTGTGTGATCTCGTCTGCTGATGCTGACATCTGACCCTCCCTATAAGATTACCTTGCCGCCAGCACCGAATTATCTACTCAACACTGGATTACCTTCTCAGTACTGGATTATCTTCTCAGTACTGGATTATCTTCTCAGTATTGGATTAACTTCTCAACACTGGATTAACTTCTCAGCACCGGATTATCTTCTTAGTTCTAGATTGTCTTCTCAACACTAACAATAACAAGCTGAAGTATAAAGCCGAATTGAATTTGATATATACACACACATCAAGAGACAACAGATCAGTGTACAGTGAGATGTTACCATAATACTTCAGTGAACCGGGAACAAAGAAAGAAGTTAGTAGTATGGTACAAGATAAGAGGTGAAAGTCTAGAAGCCGCAAACAGGCCGTTGATCACACACTAACTGGCTTGATGGAGGCAGGTCAGCCATACAAGTGTGGGGATTCCTGCCCTCACCTCTAGCCTCCTCCTCTTCCTTGATTTCGTGTTGCATGTTTTTGTTTGTGTTTTTGATTGTTAGTATGTTCTGTTTTTGGTGTGTGTGTGTGTGTGTGTGTGTGTGTGTGTGTGTGTGTGTGTGTGTGGACGCTCTTACAAAATACGGTAACATAACTCCTGAACATTTCTTTATGGATTAATATTTCTTAGATAAATTTGTATTTTTATCCTTAGATTAATAGTAATAAACTCATTAGCGATTTTTAGATATTTATTCTAAGTGGTTTAATATAAGTGAAAGAGGATTGTTAAAAGACAGACAGACATATTCATTCGTTTAGCCTAGCGTGTACAGGTATATGAATAATAACCAAAAAATAATCCAAGAGCAAAAATGTTGATAATATTGTCATGAAGTTTTCGATCCATAATGTCCAATTAAAATGCTTAAGGGAGAATTTCTGGCATAGTGAATCTGAAAAACTTTTAACTCGAAAGTTTTGGGAATTTGTGAGGAGGCTTTTTTTTTTGTCTCTGCCCACCTTGCCTATATGATGATAAGTGGGGCAAATATGAAGGTCTTAAGTGTGTTGGTGTCTGGGAGAGGAAGAGTATGTTCGTCTTGGGATGTTTCAAGCGCCAATATTGAACCGATGTGGGTGAGTGTGATGAATTATTGTCCATTTTCTGTAATTATGAGGAATTAAGTATTTATTTACTAAGATTATTATAAAAAAAATACATCAGTCACTTATTAATCTGGAGACACGGTGATTTATAAATAATGAATGGTAAATAAAAAAGTCATGGTTGTATTTTTAATCTGAAATGAAAACAAAGTTATGCATTTTGAAAGCATAATTAAGCGAACCTACACCCTTTAGACCCTCTGGTATGCCTGATACTATCTACCCACTCTCGTAAGCATTTAAAGTGCGAGAGACTGAGATAAAGGCCGAGGTTCTCCAGTGTGTACTCAGCAGACAAGTGTGAGGTGCGCTGGTCATTGTGAGTGGGGTGTGAGGAGCCAACTCCTGGGGCAGACCGCCAGTTAAGAGCAGACAATAGATACTGTGAGTTGTTACAATTTACCTGCAGCAGTTTCAGCCACACATTCTCCTGCATAACCAAGTAGTTAGACAAAACCACTCCGGAAACTTTGCTTACTACTGAGCACCAGCACAAAGAGAGGAAAATAAAGTTGACAGTTCGAGAAAGAGGCATTTTATCCTGGCATTGTTGTGGTCTGGCACCGCCCGCACACAAAGCACACACAGCTTACTGTTTTTTCCCTCTCCAGCCACACACACGATATATATATATATATATATATATATATATATATATATATATATATATATATATATATATATATATATATATATATATATATATCAAAGGAATTAATTGTAAATTGAGGTAATATTGCAAGCATTAACAAAATGAAATATACTGTATGAATTTAGGAATTAGTAATATTATTTCCGTTAATTACTAATATAATGTAATTAACTTGATTGATTAAATTTACCTCGTGGAATGTGCTGGTCATATAGTTTGTATGAATAATTAAATATAAACACTTTACCCTCCTGACTACACAAGTGCAGACTGAAGGTTCATATGTGGACGTGTTCTGTGTTGCCTGTAGGAGGGTGTCTGGTGCCATCACTAGGACTGGAGACTCTACAGCGAACTGTATTCTTTTTTTCTAAAGGTTTTGTTTCTGTTCCTCCACCTATCTCTCCACTGTAGCAACATGTGCACCTCGTAATGAGCAGAATTTTATAAGGTTTAGAAAGCATATTACTATATCATATATTACATTAAGTTAAAAAAAGGGGGGGGATATTCATGAAAAAAAAATGATGTGGTACTATAAGTTGAATTGCTTTTATAAGAATAACGAAGTGTATAGTCGTTCGGGTGGAGGAAGACGCCACCTTTCACCTCTGTGTCTAGTGGATTGGCCTCATCCATCCACCTATAAATTAAAGGAAAAATATAAGATTCTCACAATAAAACCTCAGCAATTTACTCCTGAGAAGTAACCTCCTTGCCTTCACCAGCTCATTGTCTGACCCGAGGCTTGAGCAGTGCATGACTCACACCTTCCTCTTGGTAACACAAGTTTGTAAAAAAAGTGAAGAAAAAAATAAAAATAAAGTCTCTTCTTCTGCTCTGAAAACAAGGGACACAACGTTCTCTCTCTCTCTCTCTCTCTCTCTCTTTTCTCTTATCTTCCGACTTGTTCTCCCCTTC